TAGATAGTAGGGTAGTAGGGGTTCATTCAAAAAGAAATGAGAATAAACTAGCAACTAAGTCAATCCACTGGTACAAAATAATTGTTAGTGTACTCCTTGCCATCTATTTTGGTAAGGGGTTGAAGGAGAGCCTAATATGTACTATCAGAAAAAAAAAATTAAAAAATCATTATTTAAAATCACATGATTTAAAAGCACATGATTGTACTAGGTTGCAAGTGCTATAAAGTATTGCAGTTTCCTGTGATTGTAATAGTTTGAATAATACGGAGATAATGAGGAATCTGGGTGACATTTCTACTTGTGATTTTTCTCATTTTTGAGGGTATTAGTTCCTTGTGCAGAGTGGGGACATTGTTATTTACTGAGCTAGGATGCCTGTCTTTGCACAGTTCAGCCTCAGTTTAGTTGCTCTGAATGGAATAGAAGTTACATTATTACTGTTACATTAGGCTTTTCTAGGAAGTATTCTAGGAATAAACCTGTGTTTGGTGAAGAGAAAAGCAGGTGATACATGGGTTAATTTTGGAAGAATTGTGATTTGTGCCAAATTCAAACATAATTTACTTTCATCCTCCTCATACCTTTTTGTTGGTCATAGTCTATCAATTAGGCTAATATGTAGGAATAGCGCAGGCAGCCTATATTTTGCATTTCTACTCTGGAGACTGCTTAAACACAGTATAGAACTCACTAAAGAACACGGAGAGATCGTGTCCACATTTTTATTTTTTTCCTTGTGGATGTGTTCTGCATGTAGATGAGCAAATACATACTGGATATGGTGTGATTTTATACATTAGTAAGTATTCCAGCCGCTACCACCCATCATTTCTTAGCACCTTCACTACTAAGTCATTTCAGACAACAGCTGACCAATATTTCATTACATTCTTTGCCTTAAGTGTTTGATATATATTGCTATATGCCTATGTAAGGACTGATACAATGACCATCTGCATCTCTCCTTGACTGTGGAGAAGTATATATAGGCTTATTCCTTTAACGCAAAGGAAAACACAGGCAGGCACTTGATTATGGTAATTCAGATCATAGTGTGAAGCTATAGTCTGAATCACTGCTTAGATATTCCACATTGCTCTCATTTACTTCCATTTTTTTCCCTAGTTCATAAATGTTTTTTAATTACTGTATTTAACTTTATACCTATTATCCATGGCTCTCCAATTCTCAACTTAAATTGAGAATTTATATCTCAAAATAAGACTATGCTATTATCAATTGTATAAAATGTGTAACTAGTTAAAATTTTCATTTCTGAATTAATCTTTTTTTCTTTCTCTAACACTTATTAAACACTTGTAGAAAATTCTGAAATGAAAATCTTTATTTTCCTAGATTTCCCTTTCCTTTCAGTTTCCTTCTTAATTTCCTTTCTTTATTCAAACAGTTATTCAAAGCAAACATAGAATAGTTTCCGTTCTTGTCAGTTTTTGAGTCTCAGAAATTTATCATCATCAATTCTGTTACCTTGGAATTTAATTTCAGACAACAGAATTGAAAAATTACTTAGCTGTATAAGGCAAAATGGATGTATAAAGACTACAGCTATCCAGGACAGGGTGTACACAAAACTGCAACTTGAAGAGCATCAGTAGCAACTTTGCTTCATATGTCGCTATTCCGTATCTTGCTAGCAGGAGGATCCAACATTTTTTGAAAGATTCCAGTTAAGATGTGACATAAATCAGCCTGGAGGAATCACTGAGTTGAACTGTTTTGGCAGTTCCCATGTTCCATTAGCATCAATTTTCTTTGAAGATGATGGTATAAAATTAAAAAAAAAAAAAAAAAAAAAAAAAAATCCAAGTATCAGCAATGCCAGTGTAGGGATGGGGAAGGTTTGGGACCATCTCACTTCTGGAAGGACAAAATTAGCATCAGTCAG